CCGGCCCTATTATTTTAGTGCAGGTTTGAAGGTTTCTTCGCTGCCTCCTCCAAGTGAGTCTCGAAAAGTACTCACCCGTCTATTGAAATACGTAGGGCCTACGTCTTGCCCTTGAGGTTCAGCGTCCCAGTGTGGGCACACGCAGCCCCTGTTCTTTTTCGTGGGTGACATCACTGCTACGAACTCTAGTACTTAATATTATAACCTCTTTGAGAAGAGGGCAGAAACAGTTGGTCGCTTGTCTCCGACAAATCTTTATTGTCTCTTTGTGCTTATACTATGATGGGTTGTGCGTAACCTGCAGGAATCATCTATCTATCTATCTCTCTCTCGATCTATCTATCTAGTGAGTGAGGTATCAATTCATGTACTTTTGTGAAACCTGTTGAGGAATTATATCTATCTATCTATCTATCTATCTATCTATCTATCTATCTATCTATCTATCTATCTATCTATCTATCTATCGCTCACTGACTTGATTCTGTTGTAGCCCAGGAGACATGTACTGGCGGCTAAGCAGTGGTCAGCCAGGTAATAAAACCAGTTGGTGTTCACACACGTGCTGCGACGCCTGTCCCTACAGGACGAAAACAAAACAAGTCGAGAGGGCGGGTAAAACCTCTACTAAAACAAATGACAATTAAATTAATATAATGAAAGATGCACTTTTTGTCGTAAAATACTGAATATTAAAGAACTAGGGTGAAAAAAGTAGCTTAAGGATGGTCTTATGGACTAAATCAAATAGGATTGAAAAATCCGCACTATATATAAACACCGTTATTTTGCTATTTTAAAGCGGCTCCCAAGATGACTAGAATGCTCGTCTTCAATGAGTTAAAGAGGAGAAGAGAAGTACACCGCCTACACAGTACAAAGTAGTTGCCAAAGAAACATACTACGAAAATGTTGGCTGGACGGCATTGAACAGAGTCCCAAAAGAACAATATAGTTATCATTTACTACAAAAGCCACCTATCTAGCCCTTGACCAAAAATTGCACCTTTCCTCGATATTTAACAAACGATAGAAGATGAAAGGACAAGTAAAGGATATGAACTTTCATTAATGGGGAGAAAATGTAGCCAAGAAAGTGATCCGGGGTTTAATCAGTCTTTCTCCTGTTCGTTTGCATTAATATTTAAATTAAAATCTGAAAAATGCTCTTTTTATCAGAACTACTAAATACTAATGCACCAGGGGGAAAAAGTATCTTACAGATTGACTCAAAAACGCACAGGATGTCGCTGGATATCTTAAGGATTGGTTAAAAAACTCACACAATATGGCAAAATATCTTAAGTATTTTTTTTAAACTTGCAAATATCTTACAGGCTGTCTTAAAAACTTACAGTAGGAGGCCAACTATCTTACGGATTGCCTAAAAACTTACAAAATGTGGCCTTGCCCCCAGTCGAGCAGAAACATCTGATGCCGAGCAAGCACCAGGCACAGAAGGATTATGTTGAGGAACAGCAGGATCTTGGCGTAGATGGCGAATGCCGTACCTCTGGACAGAAAAAAACACCAAACATCATTGCTTCTTTACCATTCATTCATTTTTTAAAATGTCTGTCGTCTGGTAGTGATTAGGCTACTGGACTCGTATTTGTGAGGTTGAAGGTTCGACAGTCCAAGGTTCAGCTCTCTGCCTGGTGTTGTGACCTTGGGAAAGGCACTTTACATGAAATCCCCCTCCCCCCACCCCCAACCAATTCATCTTATGGGAATGGGTATCCAGCTACTGATAGCGAAAGATCTCGCCTGTTTATTAATGTCTGAGTGCTTAATCGGCGTTAGAGGCACGTTCACGGCATACCATAACTTATAACTTATGTTAAACACGTGAAATCTTGGAAGACGGAGAAGCTTCTGCATCAGCAGGAGCAATGAAGTACACTGGAAAGAGTTCTCAAGTAGTACAAGAGATACAAGGCTGCACCTACTAGGGAACAAGTATTGTATTCTGGGAGGGAAGACAAGCACAATGAGGAAGGAGTGGGAATCATTTTGAGTAAGTATGCACAGAAATCACTTTGAGGGTGGGAACCACACGGGGAGAGGGTTATCATGGCTTCATTCTCTACAAGGAGCAAGAGCATCAACAAGATCCCAGTCAGAGATGAGATAGGAAGAAGGCGAGGGCGATGGATTGGACATACTCTCAGGAGTCTGGCAGCTGCATAACAAAGAAAGTTTTGGATTGGAATCCACAGGGTAAGAGATTAAGGGGAAGGCCTCTTGGAACCTGGAGAAGAATCACAGAAATTGATGTACAGAAAAGTGGGAAAACATGGAATAACGTCAAGAGGCTAGCACAGGATAGAGAAAGGTGGAAAGTGTTTGTCCGTGGCCTATACCCTGATGCAGGGCGAGAAAGGCAATGCTGATGATGAATGATACACGAGAAGGAGTGACGTGAAAACCTGGATGAATCAATTTTTTGAAAAAATCAGGGTATTCAGAGAACCTAAAGAGATGGGTAACGGAGAAAGAACAGGGTAACGTAGCTTTTTAAAGAGAATCCGAGCAAAGGAATGAATGGAGAAGCATGTTCACCGATGTCTGTCGCAGATCTGGCGCTTGATGATGATGATGATGATGATGATGATGATGATGATGATGATGAAACCAAAAATGTAATCTACCTCATATCCTGTAAAGTCTGTCCAGCTCAATATGTAGGTCAAACTACCACCACACTAAGAGCTAGGTTCAATAACCATAGGTATTCAGCCCAGAAAAACTCCAGCACACCAGTCGGCCAACATTTCAACAGTCCTGGTCACAATGGAACC